CTGACATTGATGGATTTCAACGACGGCGAAAAATCAATCTCGGCGTGATTCACGCTGACCGGAAACCCTTGGATGCATCGTCGTCGTGGAAACATGAAGATTCCAATGGTAGGCTATTCAATATTACCATTCATTGATTGGCTTTCGAAGGCTATGCTCTAAGCCTGCAATTAAATTTTTGCATTTCATTATCACGTGATTATCTTTTCGACAGAGCCTCACACCGTCCTCGTAAATATTTATAGGTTAACGCATCGAAATTATTAAAAATACTTCACCGTCCACGTACTTAAGTTAGTTCTGTACCTGAAGTCAAATTCACGTTATTACATAGTTTCAAGATCACCCACCAGAATAAATAAGGGATTGTCAAATTTTATGATGAAAATTTATGATTTATGATTTAAGCATGATTGAAGCTAATTTTTTTTTTCAGCGGAGAACATATTATAGCTCTTGAAAAAAATAAAAATTCAGGTAATGCCCATTACAGCCAGGTCTGATGTGAAAATTGTTTGCAGTCATTAATTTTGAAAATCTTGTGACAAATTATTTGGCATAACAAACTATTTATAAAGCCGCCAAAAGCTTTTGTATAATGTTTTGCTATATTTTACAAAACTTTAATATGGCCTCAAAATGAACAATTAACAAGAAGTTTGTATAATGTTTTACGGTATCATACAAAACTTATATAATCTGCCTTCAAAATGAACAATTAACATTCCATGATACTCTTAAATTTGCATCATTATGATGTTTGGGCTCTTTATTCACCTTCATATTTAAATGGGTGTCGGGGTTATTGATGTGGGACAGTGGGAATGAAATGAGGACAAAGCTATTAGTTTTCTTGAATAATTTCTAAAATGTTCAAATATTTGCAGAACACCGATGAGAAGACTTGCTCGAAGAAACTTATGATTTTTTCCGCTTTGCGGTAATTTCGCAGCACGCGATCATCAGTACACTTTTTTTATCATCAGAAGGAGCTGGAGAAGCAAAAAACAAGTCTTGCTTTTCTGAGCACACATGATGGCAAAAACTTGAAAATAGCCCAAAATCAGCCTGCTTTGGATTGTGAATTAGGGTGATTTTATGATGAAATTTATTTTTAGCATTCGCACATATAATCATAGCTCAATTTCTCAAAGAAATTTGAGCACTTGAAAAAAAAGGAAAATTCGAGTTCAATTTTCAAGCATTCGCCATCACATACTGCGATTTTTGCTGGGTTTGGCAACCAGGAATACACAAAAAGCAAGCAGCACGCAGACATGGTTTTGCCAATTTAGAAAAGGCCTGGTTTGTGTAATTGTTTGAAGAGCTGTGTGCTCTGCTGAAAAAAAATTAGCTTCAATCATGCACTCCACTAAACACACTAATTGTGGGACCCCGAGATGCGGACGTAATTTGTGCATGGACCTTGTCCTTGAGTCGAAGCGTCCGCATGTTGGACCTCATTTTCCCATAGACTTGAATGATAATCATTTAAACTGGATCTCCTGCAGATGGAAAGTTGAGAAAAATTCCTTCAGAAATTGAAAAAAAATTTTTTTTTTCAAAATACAGAAAATAAATGTACAGAAAAAACCACATGGAATCAGATCTTTTGACATCAGAAGGAATTCAAGAAGCAAAAAAAGTCTTGCTATTCTGAGCACACATGATGGCAAAAACTTGAAAAAAGCACAGAATTAGCCTGCTTTTGATTGTGAATTAGGGTGATTTTAGGTGATTTTATGATGAAATTTATTTTATGGAAAGTTGAGAAAAATTCCTTCAAAAATTGAAAACTTTTTTTTCAGAATACAGAAAATAAATGCACAGAAAAAAACCACACAGAATCAGATCTTTTGACATCAGAAGGAGCTCAAGAAGCAAAAAACAAGTCTTGTTATTCTGAGCACACATGATGGCAAAAACTTGAAAAAAGCACAAAATTAGCCTGCTTTTGATTGTGAATTAGGGTGATTTTATGATGAAATTTATTTTCAGCATTCGCACATATAATCATAGCTCAATTTCACGAAGAAATTTGAGCACTTGAAAAAAAATGAAAATTATGAAATGTTCCAAAAATCTTGGAAAAGTATCCATATACCTTGAGTCACTGTCCAAAAGTCAGGGACAGATTTTTTTTGTCATTTCTACGTGTCCCTAAGTCGAATCGCCTGTATTTCCGGGTTTCACTGCATGATGTCTTCCTCTGCAGTGGATCCCATCGGTCAGAAGGTCATGTTGGAGAAGAAGCACTCGAAGTCCGGTTCGGACGTGATGATCCAGGTTCGCAAGAGTTCCAGAAAGCGCACGACGATGAAACGCATTGAAGATCAAACACCCGACGATGACAACTACGTCGAAACCATGCTGAAAAGGATTGATAAAGCCAAATACAATCCGGACCCTGCTTTGCTCCGGGCAATCGAAGAAAATCATTTGCACATAAATTTGCACAGGCTCGAGTTTCACCCGGAGAAGCATCGGGATCACAACCTTGCCAGGATTTTGCGGGACACTGGGTTATCTGGATTACCCTTGGCGCAAAGAACCATCAAAGAATTGGAGGAAGAAAGCATAGAAGTCAACACACTGATGCCGCATGTTTTATGTTTGAATGACAAGGATGCCAGAGAAATTTTCGCTTCTGTCAGGCACTTGGTTGTGGCTGCTGATGAGTCAACTAGGTGAGTATATATACAGGGTGGAACAAAAAAAGTTAACCAATTTTTTACCAACAATAGATTAGTGGAAAATTGAGCTGCGGTAATGCATAAAACACCGCCAAATAGAAGCTTTCCCAAGTACTGCATATTTCAAATGGCACGTATAGTTGAATGGTCCTGTCGGGTTGTGTCCCCATTGACAAAAAGTTTTATGAAAAGTTCAGAGATGAAAAGAAGGGTACACAAGATCAGCCCTTATGTGGCCGGGTACCTCTTATTGAGGGCCCTTCAAAAGTGTAATTTTAATTCAAGTAAAATATAATACACACAGGGCAGAAGCAAACGCAGGCGCAAAAGGAAAGAGTTCAAAATTGACAACCTAACAATCAAATCAGTCCTAAACAGAAGTCCCAAATCCCCGAGTCAATTAGTCACACACAGAACAACAGGTGTTTACACCTTCACAGCTCCAGACAGAATGACGCCTAAGATGGACGTCTGCCTTCCAGGTTGGAGCCGGAGCTCCAACATCTTTTTCTCTCTCTCCCTCCCTCTCGCTGTACGTCTGCAGGCGGGGCTCGGCACCGCTACCTTTGGCCGGGCAGCGGCGTCTGTAGCCCGACAGGTCCAATGAAGTTGCCTGCTGACCACTTTTTTGTGTGAAAATTTTTCATTCAAATGGTTCTTTTGACCATACATGATGGCACTTGTAATCATAGAACATACACACAACATGAAAGGGAATCAAACAAGCTTTCATTGGGCTATTCTAAGTGAAAAATCGGTTAACTTTTTTGGCCCACCCTGCAAATATAATAGTCACAAAATATATATTTTTAAAGGGGTGTTCCACTGCTACATGCCCTTGGAATTTCTGGCATTCTTGTAAATTAAAAAATCCCCCAGGATGCACCTGTCACTTTTTCTAATATTTTCAAGCCTGTTTTTTAGGCACTGTATATAAAATGAAAAGAGTTCCACTGCTACATGCCCTTGGAATTTCTGGCATTCTTGTAAATTAAAAAATCCCCCAGGATGCACCTGTCACTTTTTCTAATATTTTCAAGCCTGTTTTTTAGGCACTGTATATAAAATGAAAAGAGAATGTTTTCCAGCCATTGCTAGAGTTTTTCTATTCCTTTCACAGTACAGCATGCTGGCAGTTCTTCACATGAGCTTGAAAATTGAAATATTGTTGTTCTGTAGAACCATGGTCCCTGTTTGTAGTCCTATGGACAAGCAAATTTCCACAATTTTTTACAGACTGGCAATTTCCATAATTTGTCAGAAATTGTGATTTGGAGAAAGGCCAACTTTTATTTTTCTTCAGATAATTTCAACTGACATATTAAAAAATTCCAGGTAAGGATAACAAACTTCATCACAGTACTGCATTTGATGAATGTATATAAAAAACCCTGGCCAAGGTTAAGTTCTGTGCATTATTGCAATCATTTTTTTCAGTGGTTTGAAGTTTCATTTTAATGCTGCATACACTGTGACATTAGTAAGAAACTCTGTCCATAACCAAAACATTTTCACTTTTTATCATGCGGTGTATTGAAAAAGATCTTTAAAATCAAAAAATAGAGTATGCTTAGGATATTTCAAGGGAAAATTTGAATTTTTCAAATATTTTATTACGTGAGGAATTTTATGGACATGCAGCAGTGGGACAAGGACAACCCTTAAACAAGTCATTCACAGTTTTCAATTTATTTCAGCTGAGGATAATGCTTGGATTCTCGCCTTTAAATGGCACCTGTTTGAGAAATCAGCCACTTGAGCTTAATTTGGACTTGTTCCAACCAAAAAAAATTGAAAAAATTGCGTCTTCTTGATTTCAGAAGCAGAAAAGAGGAGCCTGGCAAGCATCAGAAAAACAGGATGCTCTTCAGCATTTTCGGAGAAAAACCCGGTCCGACAAAGTCCAAAAGCCGTTTGTCAACTCTCTTAATAAGAAAACGGGTGGTTCTCAAAAATGGCAAGATAAACACGAGGCCCATTAGAATCATGAATGAGAGTTCGCACTATTTTTCGGACTTGTTCACTACGCTGGTGGACGCCAAATGGCGATGGACTCTCCTGGCTTTCACTTGCTCGTTTTTCCTATCCTGGCTGTTTTTTGCAGCAATCTGGTTCGGGATCGCGTATTTGCACGAGGATTTGGCCATTGGCGACCGACCCGAAGAGTTCGTTAGTATCACGAAGCATTTCATCATATGCGTTCAACATGAAAATTGTACATGAATTTTTTTTTGGCTTTCCATTTGCAAAGGTTCCTTGCGTAGTGGGGATCACGAGTTTCTCAACTGCTTTCTTATTCAGCGTTGAAACTCAGCACACCATTGGCTATGGAACTCGGGCACCAACTGAGCAATGCACAATTGCAGCATTGACAGTTTGCATACAGAGTATAGTTGGCATGATGATTCAGGTAAAAATCTTTGGCAAGACAGTTAAACCTCTGTAAGTTGAATTCTTAAATACCTGTACCAGCAAAAATGTCACCCTTGAGAAACCAATACAGTAGTTTTTTTAATCTAAAAATAATTACATTTTTAACCGTAGGGACATCTCCAGGCATTTTCAACTGAAACTCTGGATTTGGCATAATCAGCTGAATTTAATTTACGAACAGTATCATTTACAGAACCGCTACTTTTTCATGGCCCACTTCTTAGCCAAATTAATCTCATATGTTTAATCATACGTTTAAAAATCAGATGGCTTCATGTGATCTAAATTTAATTTCTTTCCAACGTACCTCAAGCTCACATTGAAGAGGTCTCAAGGTGGAATGATTTTTTATGGTCCACCCTGCAAAATTTCACCGAATATTGCACTGCTGGAAGTACTGACGTGCACCTTTTCCCCCAAATTTGAGAAGAAAAAACGGGGGTGCGCGATGACATGAGTAGATATTTACATTTTTAAAGAAATTTTAGAAAGTTAGTTAATTTCAGAATGTGCATTATGCTTGATTCTAATGGGAAATTTTGGAACAAGTTTAAAAGAAAAGCGTCCTGCATTTAAATTAAAATAATACAAAATTGGTCAAATTTATCATATTTATGTTCAATTTATACGTCTAAATTCAAATTTAGTCGCTTCCTTTCTTAATTTTGCTATCTTTGAGTCACTACAAATTGAGGTGCGTGTCGTCTCACTTATTGAGGGCGCGCGAGTAATAATAAAGGTAACTTATTGACACCCTCAGGCATTCATGGTGGGAATCATCTTCACGAAGCTGTCAATCCCCACAAAACGCGCCAAAACGCTGACATTCAGCAAATGCGCAGTGATTTGCAAGCACGACGGGTACTTGACTTTCATGTGTCGGGTAGGAGACATGCGAACCTCGCAGATAATCGAAGCACACACACGGGCCCAAGTGATTCGCCGACGGGTGACTGCAGAAAACGAGATTCTCCCTTTTGAGCAGAAGGAAATCGCGATTGGGCCGGATCACGGGGAAGACAGACTTTTCCTCATTTGGCCTCAGATTCTGATGCACAGGATCAACAAGGACAGTCCGTTTTATTTCATGGATGCCAGAGATTTTCAGAAAGCCAGGTTTGAGATCGTTGTGATCCTCGAAGGAGTAGTTCAGTCTACGAGTTCAACGGTTCAAGCCCGAGGCTCGTATTTGCCGCACGAAGTTTTGTGGGGACACAGGCGAGTCAAATTTGATTCCTGGAAAAATTGAAGTTTGAAAAATAAATTCAACCTTGATAACTCAAACCTCGTCAACTCGAATGCCTCCATACCATTTCAAATGGTCTTGAATCCGTTTATCTCTGAATTTATTTGTGAAACAATGAGACATGCAGGATTTTGTGAGTTAGACGAAGCTGCTGATCGCGAAAAGGAAGTTATATTGCAGACACGGCCGTGCATATACTGTACTGCATACAGTATGCTGGAAGTGCAGAAAAGATTTCCCGCGTATGGGTATTCAGGCATTTATAGATTTTCTGTTCAACCTTCCCGCGTATGGGTATTCAGGCATTTATAGATTTTCTGTTCAATCTTGATCAACCTGGCCGAAATTATGCCCAATATTTCCACAGCTTCGTTCTCCACATCAATAAATATGCTGTAGTTCATTTATTCCAGTTTTCCCAGCTTGGTGAGCTTCAACAAAGGAAGCGGGAGTTATTCGGTGGATTACACGAAGTTTCATGACACAGTTCCGTTTGAAACACCGAAAACTTCTCAGCATCAGTTGGACAAAGCAGCCACTCGTCGGAAAGGAGGAGAATCATCCGGTAACCATAAAATTTGAGATTACTTCGATACATGTATAAATAAAGGTTTGATCAATCTATGTATATACTGTATATATATAGGCCACGCTTCCAGCACCAGCAGAGTTGATGAATCGAATTATGTACATTGGAGTAAAGCAAAGCTATATATACTGCACAAGTAATATTCAGTATAGATTAATAGTAGGTCTCCGTATCGTCATCCGTTACATGACGCTGCGCTAATTTTCTCTCGTTTTCGTTGAAAATTACCATATTCATGATGTTCTTATTCAGTAGCGTTCTCATCCTGAATACAACATATGCTGGTCGTTCATCATCATCGGAAAATACGGTAATTGTTCTTAAGCACATCTCGTGCGGAAATGATCATTCATCTTCAGTAACCAGATCATCTTTCCCGCATAACCAATGTACATACACCGCGTTGAAGCACTACGTATAGTGTCTACGTACTTTATATATATCCAGCACGCGTTCGAATTTACAGCGTGGTCCACTATCCGAAACAAAACTCAGTGGCACCCCGGTCTACGGCATTTCGGGAATATTATACCCGGGCCGGGTGCCAGGGTGCCAGCATATATGAATCACGCTTCAAATACTGTACTGTATAACTCCTGCGTACTGTATGCATCAGAATATTGTACGAGAAGCGTCGAGCGCGTGATGAATGAGTAGAATAATGGAAATTTTCCTCATCACGCAGCGGGGTAAAGATTCAGAATTGTTGGGAGATCAACACATCTCATATCTGAACAAGCTGTGCTGTTGATTAACATCGTTGATTCAAATTGTGCCTTTTCAGAGGGAGGACAGCGACCTCCACGTGATTTAGGAGCAGAGAATGGATACGAGATGAACAACTCAAAATTCTCCGACCCCTTTGCCTGCTGAGCGCGGGATTTTGCTGAAAAGGTCGTCGTTTGATACACGTCACAGAATGTATTTAAGGGGGGGGGAGGAAATGCAGTAACTGGACCATTTCTCTGCGACACAATGAATAAAAGATACTCCAGACATCCTACTTGCACTGTGTTGTTTCGCAATTTGAATCCTTACTGTTCCCAATACCGCGCATCTAAGTACGGTATCGTTCGCGAAACGCAGACTAACCGCGCACGGGAGGGCTGGAACAGCTGATCGTTGGATTCGCTGACATAGGTTAAGATTTCAGACATAGCACTCACTGTTCAATTTATAATTGAGGACCAGCATTTTCTCGATATTGTGATGATGTTCACATTTTTATACGGGAGATTGAAAGTAAAAATTGTATGATTACCGACAGTAATTATAGACCTATGTATTTCACGGAAGCCTCATATGTACGGTCCAGAAAGGTGAGTCCAGTAAATGTTGAGAGGTCCATTACTAGCGGTGATCCATCTCTTGGACTAGTTGTGAAATTTGTCAGCCACGAAGAAGTGTTGGCGTAACACTAGTACTGATCAACTTCGGTGTGTCACTGACGTTCCATGAGCAAGTTATCCGTATCCCATCTCATCCTCTTCAGATGCGATATATCAGTCTCTATCACAAATTTCTGGTGGCCCGGTGCCACCAGACATCCTTCCCGTGGCGCTGTAGAAGTTTTGTGCTACGATTCTACAGTTCGAACCCTGGTCAAGGAGAGAATTATTTTGGGTCAGTGCGACTTGGTGAAAAAGCAATCACAAAGATAATGTTGGATTTGGATCGGCATGAACTGCCGATGGGCGTCACCGGTGGCGCTGACCTGAAAGTCGAGAGTACAAATTCGTTAATTGAGAAAATTCTGAGTGCTGAACTTAGCCTACGTCATTCTTCGCCGACGATTCGAGCCTTGGATAATTCCCTGATGGAATCCTCTCGCCTGATGCTTGAACACGAGAATGTGAAGTAAGTCAGCCGTTTCTTCGTATTTCGAGTTAATTTCTTTAGAGCTGATAACTCAGGGGCATTCTAGAAATCATGTACGCATGGCATCAGAAAACGGATCGCGAAGTGCCGAGGTTGCCATTCTACGACTCATTCTTGGATATCGTTGTGAGCCGTAGTGCGACTTGCGCCGTTGCCGAACTCGTAGGCCTACTGTATTTTGCGGGAATGGCTAAGAAGAGCAAATTGTCACTTACAAACCCGCTTTGCCAACTTGTAGTCCAGCGGTGAGATTGCTAAATTGCAGGCGTGAAGACGCCGATGGCAAATTCGTTTCTCACTGTGTCGTCTTCAGGCTAGAGGAAATAATCAAGACGACAGGAACGCTTGGTATTTCAGATGATGAAATGGGTATTCTGTGTACCAGTCTCCATAAAATGAATCACATCCTCAGAAGTACCGAAGTTGGAAATTTCATGCTCAAATATGTCAAGCAGTCCGTGGCAGATTTTCATTCGAGTAAACTGTACGGAGTGACTTCGTGTTGCAAATTACTACGACATTCGAGGGTCTCGTCTGATGACGTCTGTTCAGTGATAAGTGATGCAATAATTCAACGTGGCGGTACATTGAATGTTACCCAGTTGTATCACTTGACTGCCGTATTAACTAACGTCAATTATTTCGTACCTGACGTTTTCGAAGTAATCGAGTCCCATTTGAAAGAGATCTTGTGTTCAACAGTAATAACTGGTAATTCGGAGCATAGAAGGTTGCATTCCTCGGTATTAGTTCGTCCTAAAGATATCCAGGTGGGTTGCTAAATTGAAAAAGTGATTCTGCCTGGCTGAAGCTCGTTTCCTTACAGGGAATTCTTTGGACCGCAGCTGCTGTAGGGAAGAGTTTTGGCAGATCTCTCACCGACCTAATCGTCGATTATTTTATTTCAATGATCAATCGAGATGGAATTAACTCAGTGAACCGAACAGTTTATCTGGATGCCGTTTACTGTCTAGTCATGATGGGTTTTCACTATGAAGACCTCGAGCGAAGGTTGATCAACCCAGCTTGCGTCCTTGCTCTGAAAAGTGAGATTTTCGAACGAACGTACCACTTGCTTGATTTTTCAAGTGATTCAATTTTAGAAGAACGAAAGGGACGTTTGCTGACCAAGGTGTTGACGATTGAAAATGCCATCAAATTGGAATCCGCACATTCGTCATTTGAGGTTTCTCGTTTGGTGTCGCCTGCGGATGTTCCTTTCCGATCCGTATTCAAAGACGTGGAATCTCGACCCCTTTTGAAGTCGCTGTATGATACATTGTGTGCATACAGGAAAAAATCCAATGTTCCACAACCGGAATATGGTTGTGTACCGGTGTTCCCTGTACCAGGCATATCCTCGGCAGGGTTGGAACTGACGTTCGATGGCTCACTATCTGGGTAATTTAGAATACAGTATTGTAATTTTAGATCAGCCAAATTGTTCTGGAACAAGGTAGTTCACATTTGATGCAAAATTGCAAAATACTCTTCGGAAGTATCGGAACGGTTCATTGTTGTATGTCTTCCTGTTCCCGCTTTTTGTTCTCGTTAAAATTTTCCACTTTTTGTCCTCTTTAAAATTCAAAATTGGTGTCAGGAGAAAAGCCCCAGCGAAAAGAACTTGTGAACATGTTCTTTAAAATCTGTATCTTTGGTGTATTACCGTCTTGGAAGGGATTGAGACAAACTTTTGCCCATGATACTGAAAATTATTTTTACTGTACTAAATTGAATGAATGTCGATGTAAGTTTGCTTAGTGGATCTGGTTCTCCGTGCTTACACTACTGTTCTTTGCATTGAAATCATTTGTACGGAGTCCTTCTTGTGATTTTGGATTGATCGCTTCGTCCATTATATACTTAGTGATCTTCATTTCTGAAATTTGTATTATGATTTACCTCTGAAATGCCATATTTCAGGAACCTGAGTAGAATCACAGAGGTAACAGAAATGAGTTAAAAACTTATAATTGAACCATCAGTCATTGAGTGCATATTTTCTAGGCACTCCTGAGTGAAGCTTTTCCCCTGAGAGCGTTGAGTTCCAATATTTTATCGTTGATTCAATAATCTCATCTTTGGATCATGTTTCTGCAAATTTTTTATTAAAAAACTACGATTAGCCGTTTCAGAAACATTTTTTAACGGCGTGATCTTGATAAATTTCTGAAGATCACCATCACTTCAAATCTGTTGGTTTCAAAAGCATCGTTGCTTTTACAGTAAATACTGTACGACTATTGATCAATCTAAAATTTATGTTGAACAGAAATCCCGAGATTTCTTTCATTTTCTGTGACTGATTTCTTATTTTCAGTCGGTACCTGATCGAGGTCTTGGACGACACGAATACTACCAGGCCATTCGGTACACCGACTGGTCTAATGAAGCTCAAGCTACGTCTAGCAAAGAAAAGCTATGTCAGTTTGACAGTGCTCACCGAAAAGGAAATTGCTGGTGATCGCAAACAGTTGCTCCAGTTAGTTTTGAGTGGATCTGGTGGATACCAGTTGCATAATCTAGGTTCTTGATACGTCTGTGGATTTTTTCGTTTGTGATGCATACCTCAAAATTTTCTTGATCTCCTCTTCAGACGAAAGAAAAGTGTGACGATGATTTGAAAATGCCAGTGGATAAAGTGGACCCGTGTCATAAATTCGCATGCAGATTGCAAGATTGTCTGAAGAGTATGTTTTGATACGCATTGTGCATTGGAAGTGTAGGTAAAATTTATCTTTGTGCAGGAGAAGCGTTTCATGAAGAACGTTGCGACAGCGTACTTCTCTTGATACACGAATGTTGTGAAAAATTCGACTACGCTCCGTTAACTTGCGAAGGCTTCATGATCAGCCGGCCAAGGAAAATCTGATTCCTCGGACATCCATTTGATGTCTTCTATGAATTCTGGAAGTTACAAACGCGGTGATCGCTCGCAAGATTTCAACCGACACCAATACGATCCCAAAAAGCTCAGTTTCATTCAGAGAAATCCGAGGCGTTTTGTGACGGTCTTCACAACAGTTTCCTTACTGATCTTCTTTTCCAAACCCATTTACGACATTTTCATCAAACCTTTGGTGGAAGACCCTGAGGAACGGAAACGTCGCCTGTTCAGAAGGGATCACCCAGAGAACTTCTCTTACCCAAAATTGAGGTAGAAGTCCTCGCTTTTTCCTGAATGGAAGCTGTTCGAGGTGCGAGACGTAGACTCCAGAATTATCCGCTGCTGTTGGCGGATTGTTCAACACAGGCCTCAGTCTATGCAAAGTGCGTGCAACTGGACGTGAATGTTAAACAGGGAGCGTGTAAAAAGGAGTTCGAATTGTTTTTATCCTGCATTACAAAATGTGCTAAACAACGAGGGATTAGATTCTGAAGATGACTTCAAGCATGGACGTGTTCGGAATTAGATTTCAAGCAGGCGTAGGAATATTAGTCCGGTTCGCCTTTGTTCTTTATGGGATGTATCAGGATGCTCATATGCTGGTGAAGTACACGGATGTGGATTACAAGGTGTTCACTGATGCCAGTCGACATGTGGTCAATGGGCGTTCTCCTTTTGAGCGACATACTTACAGGTGAAATATTATGTTAGGATGTGACTCTCTTGTTTATTCTTTGTTCTACCCTTCATTGGATAATCAAGGATTTTTGAAAGAAAAGCAGAACCGAGTTACTCAGTCCTAATTTAAAGCATGCTCATCAAAGAAAAAATATCAAAATCAATATTGTAGTACACACACTTTTCTTTAAAAAAAATTAAATTTAATCAAGATGCGTCTTATGTTCTAGGGTGTCTTTCATTTACCGGTTAGATCCAGAGTTGCTGTTGACCAGCACAATCTTCGCCATACAAATTTTGTAGATTTCCAAGGTATCATTGGAAATTAAGCTGATACAGTGCATGAAATCGAGAGAGAAAAAATGAAGTACCTGAATCAGAAGGAATTCAATTTGGTGGATGCATGTCTTTCATTTGTAGAACTTTATATACTTCAGGTTCATTAAGTATAGCCAGGTCTTATGTTGAGAAGTGTGATCAAACAATACGGTAGTTTTGTATTGAGTAGCAGTAAAGTAATGTATGATGGATTAAGTTGAGATGCATTAGTAATCACTTTGTTCACTTGAGTACCAGAGCCCTTAATCAAGATATGCACCCAGATTTTTCAGCCTGCAATTCCAATGAAATCATATCCCCAAATAAGACGCATGTCCCATTTTTAAAGACTGAACACGCGAGTATACAAAAATAATTAAATAACAGACGAAACATTTTGAATTTGGACTTGAAGTCCTCCTGCATTCAATCACGTTTCAATTGTTTTGATTTAAAAATATTTTTCTCAAGATTTGTCTAAAATTTCCAGTCGAAATCTCCAGCAAGTTCAGCATCCCGTTCACTCATTTAAGAACCAATTGAAGGCCTAGAATATCAGTTCTATCACCAACTACATTTTCCTGCAATTCATCCTTCCCCCAAATGATTTTCCCACAACTCCAAACCTCTGTAGCAAGCCATTTTTTGCTGGTCCCTTGAAGTTTGACTCACAAAAAGGTCAACTGTGTATACAGGGACATTTGATGTGTTAACGTACCTGTTTAAGTAGACCTTAACTTTTGGTTTTTGGCAGATGTAACTTCGTGAATACGTTTTCAAGGGTTTGTTGAACAACATGTGCGGAACAAAATTTGATTTTACGGAATCCAACTTCGATTTCAGATATACTCCTCTGGTTGCCTGGATGCTTGTGCCGAATATCCTTCTGGACCCCTTGTGGGGAAAAGTGATTTTTTCCCTGGCTGATGTCGCCTGCGGGTTTTTCATATACGTCCTCGTCAAGAGTGAACTCCTCAGGGAGCAGAAATACCAGAACATTGAGTGGATCAGTGTGAAGGCTGCCTGCTTGTGGTTATACAATCCTTTGACGATTGTAGTGAGCACGCGGGGGAGTGCGGATTCCATCCCCAGTTTATTGGTACTCCTTACCCTTGTTTGCTTGCGTGGGAGAAGTGTCAAATTGGCCGGGGTTGCATTCGGGTTAGCTGTTCATTTCAAAATCTATCCCATCATTTACTCTCTGCCGATCTTTCTGTCCCTGCGGAGCAACCCGAACCGTGTGACGTGGTCAGATTTTTGGAAGTGGAATCGTACTCAGGTGAGCTGGATGTTTCGTATTATTGGTGATTTATGCAGAATCTTGACACCCGATTCAAGAAAAATCGTGTTTTTCGTTCTAGTGGAACAGAATTATTTTCTGAATTTGTGTTGACGTTGATGAAGCTTAGCAACAGACGCATGAGTAGATGCTACGGAGTCCTCTTTTTGAAGGGATTTACGCAGACAGATCATTTTCAAAATGCCTACCTAAGTAATCGACTAGAGAATTTACTATCAAACCCCGTCAAGACGCCCCTCAATAAGCCGCCACTCTTGGCAACCCTCAATTTATTTTGAAAAACAAATCTTCCCTAATTGATGTGTTATTATCACCCCGTTAAAACGCCATCCCCCAAAATTATTGACAACTCAAATATTCTCCCGCCAATTAATTTTGTCTTGCCGACCCCTCCAACAAGATTCAATTTTCTGCAAGAAATCTCCAATTGAGAAAAAAAAACGATCAAACACAAAAATGACATAATTCACTTCTTGGGAGTATTACCTAGATGTACGGTAATTTATACTTCACCAGGTTATTTCGATTGTTTCCTAGAAAGACAAGCATTTTATTTCCTATTATACCTAATTTTGATATTTGAGCTTTTTTGATGAACCATCAACCCCGTTCGAACCCCCAACTCCGTTAAACCATCACAAACCTAGCGGCTTTTCAAGGTTTCACTGTATTTTCGGAACTCTGATGATGATTACGGTCGAAATTGATGCGATGATTTCCTTTAGTTTTGTCTTATTTCGACACCAAGTAAGACAAGGTTGGCCGAAGCATTAATTCTCGGCATTCAAATTGTAAAAAGGTCTGAGGTAAATTTTTTGAGAGACGTAATTCTCTGGTTTTTTTATTCGTTTTCAGATTACGTTTGTGGGACTTTCTTTGCTGACGTTTGCCGGCTTGTTCATCCTGTGCTACTCACTGTACGGAAGAGTGTTCATCAACGAGGCATTTCTTTACCATGTCACGAGAAGAGACACGCGGCACAATTTCTCTGTTTACTTCTACCTCCTTTACATTACGCCTCAGATCAGGAGCCTGATGAGCGTTTTGCTCTTTTCCCCGCAACTCATGATTCTGGGCTACACGTCAGTGGCCTTTTGCTCGCCGAACAAACTTTATCTCGGATTGTTCATTCTTACCGCCGTCTTCGTAACTTTCAATAAGGTGAGGTTTTTGTGATTGGACGCTCCGAAATTCTTTAACTGTATTTCTTAAATTATTTGGGGTTGTATGAGCCCAATATGGTATTTTATTTTGTCCACTTATCTGTTGATGTCTGGGCTCTCGTTTAACGTTTGATTTATGAATAGAGTGTAATCAAATCTGGTGCTTTGTTATAAGAGTTCGGGGTTATCTGCGTTGTATATTGGGTGGGTTGAATCTTTGTTGAAGGAATTTTGTGAATTAATCGAGGGTTGGTTCTAAAAAAATTGTGGTGTCACTCACTACCTTATGATGTTTTAGTAGAGCTGCTAAATCGAAGAAAAAGCATTGTTGCATCATTTGAACAATCAGCTATACTCGCCTGCTGTTCAATGCCCTCTCTGCTAATTTAAATGTATTTTACTCAGTGAATCCGTCAAAAACTATTTTGAAATATTTTAAGCACTCGCCTTTTGAAGTATGAAATATTTAAACTTTTGTGAGATCGTTACCAAATACGAACCTCTTCATTTGCTCAGGACGATCTTCAAGTAAAACCTTCGCTAGGGCAATTTTTGATCGCATCAACGTTCCTTACCACCGCAGGAAAATAGCAAATAACTAAATTTTGTTTGCTGGCTTAAGATTATCACGGAAAGGAAGAGGAATTTTTAGAAATACGCTGTGGATACTTGTTTTTAGAAATTGTGATTTAATGTGAAGGATTTTTTCATTATTTTTTTTTAAATATTTGGTAGCGTTAATATAATATGCAAATCTAAGAAATGTGGAAGTGTGTCAGTGAACGTCAAGTACATCACAAAGGTGTGGGTGAACATTCAACTCGAGTCATTTTTCCATCATGACAAAGTTGGACAAAACATCGGGGATGTTGAGTGATTGTTGAAAAATATTTCCTTTTTACTGCTACATAGGTGCAAGTTTCGAACCAGCTTTCTTAGTTTATTGCCACATCAGATGGAGATGATCAAGTGTATTCAATCTTGGTCATGTCCGTTTCCTTGTGTTTCCTCGAGTTTTGTGGAAGCTTAGCTTTGTAGGCATGAAAATGTTCTCGAAGTTCGTTTCACGAAGTTATTCCTCTTCCTAGGTTGTCACGTCGCAATACTTCCTGTGGTATCTTGTGCTGATCCCACTCATAGCGCACAAGTTGGAGATGACGAAAGCTCACTCTGCAGTGCTCTTCACTATTTGGGGCTTTGCTCAGCTATCATGGCTAATGCCTGCGTACTTCTTGGAGTTCGAAGGACGAAACGTGTTTTTCTACCTGTGGGTGGAAGGTTTGGCTTTCCTTTGCGCCAACGTGGGCATCCTCAGCAAAATCATCAACGTGTTCCGAATTGAAATGTGAAGTCCAGTTTAGTTGAGGCATGGTAGCCCCTTTTTGATAGCTCGTGAAATTGATTCTTGTGGTTTAGATGGAAGAAAAAAAATCATTGTTGGACTCCGTGTTTAGATTCGTTCCCCAATTCACCACGAGCCCCTGAATTTGTATAATTTGAAACGTTTCTCCTTTTTTTCTTTTAGGTAATCTGAATTTTTATTACTTTTTTGCGTTGTGAATTGAGATCCACGTACCCACGATGTCTGCTTCTGAAGCTGTGAGTAATTTTTCAATATTCACCTCTGTGAAATATTTTGGATGAGCCAGAATGGCTAGGAATTGTTTCGCCAGGGTTCTTGTTGTTGCCTGGCGCTGTATAATTGTTGAACTCGTGAAAAAATCGTTCGAGTTTTGTGCATGAAAAGTAGAACCATCTTCTGCCTCGGTCCAAAATATCTTTTTCGAAAATTTCCGCTGACGTCAGGTAGGAATCTGAGTCGAGTCTCCGGCAATGCCTCGATTAATCTTTGCAGAAAATGAATCCTTTGTCATAATCGACCGAGCCTGATGTTCGTTTTTTTTATCAGAATTCGAAGCCGGTTACCAAAATTGACAAGTGGGATGGAGCAGCTGTGAAGAATGCTCTGGATGACGCAGCCAAAGAAATGTTCGCAAACGAATTCGAATATGCTGAAAACACAAAACTGATCGATGTTCGCTTGTGGATCTGCTTTTTGGCCTGCGTGGTTGCCGGATTTGCGCTAGGATACGATTACCTATTTCCGTTTCCGGCTTCCAAGTAAGTTCTGAATTTTTGTCACCGCAATTCGATTTCCGGTTCTTCAAAATCAGGTCAACGTGTTTTCAGGTTGGTTTTGGTATCCTGTGTTTCGATATACTTCCTGTTCATGATATTACTCACGGTGTACACGAATTACTGCGAAAAGAACATTTTCTGTGTGTTCGAGGAAAAGGATCCAGCTGGAATGGACCCTCCTACCAAATGGCAATTGTCTTCTTTCTTGAAAAGGTGACTTATTTCAACTTTTTCTATTTTAGTAAAACGTATGCTCGAGATTTTTACTTTTTTGCGGAATGACAATGGTTTGTAAAACATCGAGCATAATTGAACTGCGACAAATTTGGAGATTTTCAAGCGCAGTACGGTGTTAATCACAAGGGATTTTTCACAAGAAAATGTCGTTTCATGACGATCTGAGTCGTTATAGACGAGAAGTTGCGATTACGGATGGACTCAACGCAAAAAAATACAGGGAACTGGAAAAAATTATTTTTACAGAGAATTTTGTTGTAGAGAATTCCTATCTACCTATGTACATAGTCTTTTTCAATGCTCAGACGGCTTGAAAATTCATGGAATCCGCGAAGTTACATTTCTGTCTGAAAAGAATGTGAGATCATCCAACGAAATCATTCTTCGTTCATTCAACTTGTATGAGCCGAAATAAAATTTTTGGTTTTGAAATTATCGATTAGCGTAAAAATTACGTTCGTCTCCAGGCCTTCATCAACATCACAACGAGGGAAGCGCAATGCTGACGAAACTTTTGAACAGGCTCTCATAGATTCCTCCTGCATCGATGGTAATATATCACGTGATGGTTTCAGGTTCGACGATATGTACACTTTGACCATAGCTGTTCTGGATGGGCCATCGGGGAAAGGTCGAGAATCCAGCGTCACTCGTTCAGTCGCAAATTTTTTCGACGAGAACGGAGTCCTTGTTGCGGAATTGTTCGAGAAAGAAATCCGAAAAATGCACGATAGCTTGAACGCGGAACGGAAGCGGAAGTGAGTCACTCGAAAAAAAATGCAACTCAGTCTCGTTCTTGATCGTTGATGAGGGGAATCTGGAATGCATTTCTTGATACCTTCTTGTTGTTGAGGCTGAGATGAGCACACCGAGGTCGTCTTTCCCCGTCTCCTGCTTGATTGCGTTTCCTGCACCCCAGCATTCATTCCGAAATATTCATGAGTGCGTTCATTTTATTTTTGTTTGCTTTTTTTTCTCTCGGATGTTGTTTGACGTGTGCGATGTTCGCTGTTCGCCGGCTTTCGAATGGTTTCTTGCGAGATACTGCATTGAACCGGGAGGAAGATTCTCGGGATTTGTCGACGAAAATCTTTCATGTGTTTTTCGTCTTTCAAGTTATTTTTGACATTTTCTGCAAATTGAATGATCAGTTTGACTCCAACATTTCAGGGCATTTTGATTGTTATGATGACTCCTTGTTGAGCCACTTTTGTTTGTGATGAGTTGTGTTCATCGGAAATGTGTTCGCGCTTCTAATGCACCCCAGGCAGCCGAATCCGACCTTCCGACGAAAGGATGCCAAAGAAAACGAAGCAAGCTAAATTTATTTGCTTTTTTGTGAGTCGAAAATAACACTTGATTTGATTTTCAGAGGAGTGCCATTCCAGCGTGATCCTCCTGCGAATCTCAGAATTGAAGTCTCTCGCTCTGGGAAGGCGAAGTTAACGTGGGGAGTTGTTCTGCTCTGCTGTTTCTGGTGGATTTTCGTGTTCATCCTTATTTTGATCGCATCTGCGCCTCAGGTATGTATGATGTCCTTCCTTCTATTCCACATTTGTGTAGTTCATTTCAGGATAAGTTTAATTGTTACGTATAATTAAAGTTCCGGGGATAAGTTCATCAAATTACTTTACCCTGAAATCTCACTCAAGTTGCAGACACATCAGTTTGATGCGTTGCACTCGGAAATTTAAGAAGATTCTTTCGCTAATAGACCCGTTAAAACGGGAATATTGTGTTTGGGGTGATTATGGAGCTGTGAGTAGGATCGTTGATAACAAATTTTGTTTTGCTTTGTTGACTTGAATTCCGAGTAGAAAATGATATGACCTCACGCGTAAAATTATCACCCCAAACACAAGACAAAGAATAATTCCTTCTGTATGACAAACCTTTGTTGTTTGGCTGAAGTCATGCATTTTCTTTCTCCACCCTGTCCTGCTTCTCATTCCCGTTTTCTATAATTTACATCGACAAGATTTTTGAAATTTGGGAATATTTCCACTGTTTGTTGGTTTAAAAGCGCTTGAATCCGATTTAGATGCCGTAGGCATAATACTTCACGAGATAGCGGATTGTAGCACAGTTGCACTTTGATAACTCGAACCTCCCGAATTCTAATTTTTTAAAGTCCCCCTCTCTCAGAAACAATGCATGAAAAACCTCTCACTCGAAGGCGTTTCCTCTCAAATCTCCGTGACTCGAATTTTCTGAGGCATTTTGGGTATGATTTGCTTAACACAGGAAAGAGAAAAGCAGTAAGAAAGTGACTTGATGTGTTTTGAAAGGAAGTGAAAATGGGGCAAATGAACCCTTACCTCCAATTTCCGCATTCTATCGACACATTTAAGGAGCACTTGTGAGACCTAGAATATCACCATGTTCATTGTCTTCAAATTTTTTCCACAACAAAAATGCTCGTTTCCTTGACTGGAAACCTCCTTACTGAAATTAATTTTTTGGTCACTTTTAATTCGTCTTGAAGAGGTTCGACTGTAATGGAGTTTTTCTTTTCAGTTTTTGCGGCTTCGGCGGATAGGTCTCGAAGATGCACAAATAATCACGGACGCGCAGCAAGAATTGCTTTTGAACTCGGAATTGGACACAGCTACCGTCGATTTGTCCATCCCTGTGAGACTGTCGAACGTCGGTCCGAAAGACAACCTCAGAACCGCTTTCCTACCTTCTTTCACAACGGGGAAACCAGTGTTGATAGCGAGAGACTCCTTTGCTGCCAACGCCATCAGTTTTAAGATTGAGCCTTTGCTCGATCGCAAGGCGCCTTCGCTTGAAGAAAACGCGCATCAAGTCATGTCGATGCTTGTGCAGAGGTCCGTCGTAGACGTGATTCAAAGGGCTCAGGCGGCCATGAAAGGCGGTGCTTCCGTGGCGGCGAGCAACGACTGTTCCGTCGCCGCGGGAACGAGTGATGGAGAAGAGTTCACTCCCTGTGATTTGGATAAATTTGTCGACGATAACGGAAGATTATTGCCCTATTTTGGGTTTCGGGATTGTCCGTCTGTTCCTGAAACGTTAGGTGAGTGCTTGTCAACTAAAGTCAAACCTCCGTTAGCCTCGTTAATACGCCACCCTCAGCCACCAATTTATTTTGAAGAACAAATCATCTCAGATGATAACGCTGGAAACCTCGTCAAAACGCCATCAGCCAAAATTTCCGATAACTCGAGTATGCTCCTGCCAATTATTATTTTTGTTTTTTCTTGGATACTCTTCAACATGATTCAGTTTCTGTGAGAGGTTTCCAATTAAAAAAACACGGACTTACAAAAAGGAAATAATTTACTTTCGGGAACATTAGCCAGATTTAAATTTACACATTCCACGATTGTTTTGATTGTTTTCTAGGAGGTTGAGGATTTTATTTCCTACTATAATTGATTTTCATTTGATTTTAGCTTTTTTTTAACAATCAAAAACCCCTGTTAAAGCATCACAAACATCACGAACGAATGGTGGCGACTTATCGAGGTTTGACTGTCCTGTAAATCAAAAGTATCGCACGAGGTTGAATTTTTCGACACCCTGTATTAGGGTTATCCTGATAATTTTATTGGCATTCCCCACTGTACTGCGGAATTTGCCGCGGAGCTGATGAATTTTCATTTTATTTTTCAGCCCTGTTCCTCAGGTTTCAGTATCGGCGTTCTTTCTTTAAACGTCTTAAGTTTGTTGATTTGATTTTTTGCAGTTACCGAAAGATCAGTGAATCTCTCTTCGACTTATTCTTACGATCGAGTCGTGCTCAATGAGAGGCTGGAAAGTGCAGGAGTTCTACCAGGTGGTGAATGGATTCCGAGACGGTGCATTTCTAGACACAAGGTGGCTGTCGTGATTCCGTACCGTGATAGAGCCACTCACTTGGTAACCCTGCTGAAGGAACTCCACTCATTACTCCAATCTCAGCAGTTGCATTACAAAATCATCGTCGTCGAACAGGTGATCTTGACAAGAACGCAAAAAAAAATTCTAAGATATCTCAGATAATGGACGCTGCGCGTTATGGACTTTTCTTTGAATGAACTGGAGGTGGTATCGATATTTTCTTGTTGTAGCGAACCTTTCTTTGGTTGGTTGACTTGAAAAAAAATATTTGGAGTCATGGAGGCTACCTTGCAAAACATGCATATGAGCAGGTCTAAAGTAGGAAAACTTGCCGTGATGTTGTTGAGAGGCATTCTTGCTGAACTGTCAAAAAAAACCTCACCGAACGAATGGTGGCGTCCCTTGAAAGTTTCAATGCGCTTGATTTTCTGGTTGATGGATTTGCTGCTAAAACGGTACACTTCATTACCTGAGGCACCATTGCATGTTATTCAGCGTGGCTGTATGTGATAAAAGGGAATGTACAGTATTGTCAAGTTTAAATCTGTTGATAACCGAATTTGATTTTTTTCCAGGCAGGTGATGAGCTGTTCAACAAGGGGAAATTGATGAATGCTGCCTTCTTGACTGCGTTGCGTTCTGCGTGGTGGGACTGTTTCGTTTTTCATGACGTGGATCTGATTCCTGAAGATGGTCGGAATATGTATTCGTGCCCTCAACGTCCAAGACATTTGTCTGTTGCGGTGGACAAGTTGAAGTATGAGAACTTTAAGCCACTTACGTCGGTCCAAGCGCAGAGCGTAAATGTGTTCATAACGAAACAGAGAGAGAGAGAAAATTTGTCTCGATGTTGTTCCTCTCATCTTTGTGGCCATGTCTTAATTTTCTTTTATTCAAATTTTGCTGCGCTTGATAGCCAAAAAAATTGAAACAAACATTAAACTAATCTGCTCACACTCTGATGTGCACAAATTTGTTTACAAATTGAGAAATTTGTGATAAATATTCTTTTTTCCGAATTGCGACGAACTTTGCCCATAGCATGTGAAGATGTCAGTGACAATCGCCAATTGATATACTGTAGTTTTATTGTCATCCTCATGTGCTGATGAATTTTGCATTTATGCGCGAGAGCGTTGTTGAAGTAGCGTTGAAGCGTTATGGGTTCGAGGTTGATTATCTGAACGATGAGGAATATCATCGAGCTCATTCGAAAAATGTTTGTAAAAGGTCAAATTTAATGCTGCACTCCTGCATTTGTCTTTTTCGGAAATTTTTTGTTGCATGTTCCTGTGTTCATTTTCGTGTTCTTCGTTTTCCAGTTATACTTTGCCTTACCATTACCTTATGGGAGGAGTGGTTGCGTTCCGGACGGAACACTTCTTGAAGCTCAATGGCTATTCGAATTTATATTGGGGCTGGGGCGGGGAAGACGATGACATGGGGAGAAGGTAATTTATTTTTTGAGAATTGAAATACGTGGGTTGTCCCACTTCGGCGCCACCTTGAGTTATGTTTCTGGAGTAGGTATGACTGTAAAACAAATTATGGTATAGCCCATGAAGTTGTAAGGTTCTGGAAATTTTTTTCGGATTTTTAAAAATATTTTGTGATCTATGGCAGGATGATAATTGAAAACTTTTCATTTGCCGGCAGTGTTCCCACACATGTCACTGGGTGCTTAAAATTCCCAGATCGACGATAAATTGAAATTTCTTCATTGTTTTAACCACTATCTAAAATGTAGAGAAGATGATGCTCAAAAAAACGAATTTCAATTTCTTCGTTGGTCTGAAATTTTTTAGCTTCCTTTTGACATGGGTGGGGAACTCTGCCTGTAACTGGAAAGTTTTCCCGTATCTTCATGCAGTAAATTAAAAAATATTTTAAAAAATCCGACGAAAAAAAAATTCCGCCATCTTGCAACTTCATGGGCTATGATACCGATATACAGTATCGTAATTTGTTTTTACAGTCATGCCTACTCTAGAAATAATTAAGGTCGCAATGAAGTGGGACAAATCTCTTATACAATATATTGGTATTCGTGAAAACCTGTGGATCTGCGCTTCAGTTCCCGGAATTCTATTTTCCAGAGTTCTTCAAACTTGGTCGACGATCGATCGTCCTTTGAAGCGTTTCGGTCGCTACAAAATGCTTCCGCATGTGAAACGACGTTCTTCTATGCCTACGGCGACTCAGCGTCTTCTCATAACAGCTGGTGTTCGCCGTCGCTTGGATGGCCTGAATTCTTCAAATTTCACGTTGGTGGAAAAGGAGGAAGTTCAACGTGCGTACACTAGGTACTTGATAAATGTTGGGCGTCCTCCGGAAATCATCCTGAAGCTTGCTGAAATCCAGCGTCGACAGGACGCTCTGAATAGGAAATCGTGGAGAGGATGATAATTTTATGCTTTTCCTGCGCTTTCTTCAGTGTTCCTTGAAATAGTCAGCCCCCTTACGTGGAGAAAAATCTCGGAGGAAAGAGAGTGAACCGGAAGTATTTTTTTATTGTGATGACTAGCGTTGTGTCGAAACGGTGCCGCCTGCTTCCGAGTAAGTTGTTGTGTTACAATGAAGTTTGTCAGCTGCTTGCATTATATTTTTCTCTTCTAGTTTCTTTTTTAGTGGGAGTGATATGTTGGTATTCACGAGTTGTTGTATGTGTTACAGGAGGGTGTGGGGGCTTGAGTGTGTGAGTGAAAATGGATTCTAGCATGATATCCGAGTTTCTTGAATGCTCCGTGTGTTTGGAGACAATGGATGGAACTTCGAAAGTTTTACCGTGCCAACACACGTTTTGCAAGAAATGCTTGGAGGATATCGTGGAGTCTCATAAGGTGAGATACTGATTTTCTGATCTAGAAAGGCTCTTCTTATTGTTTTGTTAATTTTCTGAATAAAAAATCTTTCAGGGAACTGGAAACCCTGGCCTTTAAATTTCAGATGGCCGTAATAATGAGCATGTCTTGGCGCCAGGAAATTTTTTAAAGCAATGAATCCAAAGTTTTTTTTGGATGAAGTGCATCTTTCCAGTATTCATAATAAATCACGTTTTGCAATTTAAATAGTCTCATTATTTCTACGATTTTTTTTTTCGAAGTCAAGTTTTTTAGATATCCGTTGCAACTATTAGTGGATACAAATTAAAAAATATTCCGAGGCCTTCGAATGTAACTTTCAGATTGTGCTTGATTTCAATTTTTTTACTTATTCCCTATATCTTGTTGGAAAATTGGTCCAAAATTGTCCGGCCACGATTAATTTTTCTTTGAAAAGTGGGAAGGGTACCAATGACCGATTTAGACGACTGAAACCTCGCTGTGATGATGTTTTATGCGATGCATTTTATCTGAAAATGATGCGTGGAAGTTTTTTTTTTTTCATGAAATTACTAATCGACAACATTGGGTCGTAAATCTTGTTGTCCTCAGGAACTGACGTGTCCTGAGTGTCGGTTGCGTGTGACGACGAGGGTCGAAGACTTGCCTCCGAATATTCTGATTGCCAGACTCATCGAAGGTCTCAAGAAGGTTCGTTTGTCTGACGAGAAGGAACGAAGCGTTGCTCTTGAAGTGCCTTCCGAAAAAGACGCAAGTTTGGTGAAGAGGGAAACAAGCGCGGCTGTGCCTTCACCATCTTCGGTAATTTGTGCTCAATTTTTTTTGGAGTAAATTTCAGTTTTAATTCGAAGTAATCTGTGTACTCTTCAGTTTTTAACGTTTATCTCCTTAGTTCAAAAAATCTTTCTTGAAAAATAATACTCCTTTGTGGGCGAGGGATGATGTCTTATTTATGATCGCTGAGTTGCCCGAAGATGAATACTGTACATTGTTCATCTTGTCAACCTTTTTGCGCAGACTAAAGTAATATTTTATGATTATGTTTACTTCTGCAGGGATCACACTCCATGAATGTCATTGGAATTCCTACTCGTGAAGTCAGCAAAGCGTCGAATGAAACTAGTCCGAGGCACAATCTCGGGGTGCAGCGGCCTTGTGCTCGTGCTGTTTATTCCTATTTGTCTCCACCCATGGGGTAATTTCGAATTTTTCCGATTTTTGGGCATCGTTTTCATTTTCGTCTTCGCGATGAATCGATAATTTTGAGAACATTAATGTTGTGTCTTCAAGAGAAGACACCTCTTGAAAGATCGTCCGAGGGTGTCGAATTAGAGAGGCTCATTCAGTGAAAAAATTGAAGTTGATGCGTGATTGTTTCCTTTGAAACAATTGCGTAATACATGTACGGTATTAGAATTCGAAAGGTATTCGCTCGCAGCTTTCGGTCCATCTCAATAAATCTTTTGAATATTCTCGATGAACCCTTTTGAAGAGAAAATACTTTTGTAGAACCATAGCGTTATTCTGGCTAAGATAATTGTGAGAAAAAAAATGATTTCAACTACATTCAACTGATGATGCATGTAACTGAACCCTTGATGGGTGTAAAATGTGTTCATTACGAATTCCTGTGTTTCTTGTCGCAAGGAAATTCAAAACTTTTTCTTCCTACTCTTCTCCGTATGATGATGTTCTTTAGAATTGATTTTGATGCGTAGAATCCCTGCGACATCGAATCTCCCGAAAAGATTCTCTCATGAGGTGACCGTATTCAATAAGGAAGATCATGCTTCTTCTAGTTTTGTTCACCCACGGTAAATGAAATCCCGATGTTATTCTCAGTCCGCAAATTTCAATCGTGTCATGACGGGTTCTGTGTGTGAGCTATGTAAAATATCATCAATTTCTTTTTTCGCAGTCAATTGAGTTTCAAGGTGGGTGATATCATCTATTTATTGGACCGACGAGACGAATGGTTCTACGGAGAGTTGAACGGTCGCAAGGGCTTGTTTCCGAGACGCTACGTGAAAGTGTTGATTGCTTTGCCGCCGTCTCAACCCATGCCCGGTGTGCCACTGCCCATTGTGACAACGTCTGCCCCTTTGTGTGTTGCATTGTACGATTTCTCCGACGAAAGTGCCAACGATGGGAACATCAATACTGCGAAGGACAAGTGCCTTTGCTTCAAAGCTGTGAGTGCTACTGTTTCGCGAAAAATTTAAGCATGGGCTCGAGACGTTTGGGGTTAACGAGAAAAGCATTGCGGTTCAGTGTATTCTCAGTTTTAGATTGACAATAATTAAAATACGAAGATCTGAGCTACTTTCGGATCAGAATTAATTCGAATATTCGCGACATCTGTGTGATTGACGAATTTTCCACGTGAACTGGAAATAGTAATGTTATTGTAATTCAAGTTTTATATTCTTCAGACAAACGAATACGCTTTTTAAAATGAATGAAGAATTGAGCTTGAAGTTCCTAAAAATTAGTCGTCCGCCAGTTGGGGAAAAGGAAATTACAAATTTTCAATTTGGAGGAAAGGGGTCTGTAGCTCAACTGTGCTTGATTTTCAAGTATTCTTTTTTTTTTCAGTGAGGAAAGAATTCAACTGCTTGGAGAAGAACTTGATTTTTTAAGTTTCAAGGGAGAGTTTTTCTGAAATTTGGAGACTGAATTCCTCATGGGAATGATATGAATGAATTCCATCGCTTCATTTTTCAAATTTCAAAAGCAATAGAATTAGGAAAGTTGGTGAAGAAATCTGAAAAGCCTTTTTGGGTGTTATTGATGATTCTCGGGGTTTTTGGTCTGCCAGTGAAAAAGTATTATTTCCGGGAATAATGTATGGCATTAATGGTAGTCCCTGTGTTTCAGCAAGACTTTAATTTAAACTGAACGAATTTTCCCTAAGAAGAGCTTCATTTGTTGAGTTGTGAAGAAAACCCCCTTTGAAATTTGGGAACTAAATCCATGTATTTTTCCCTGGAAACGATACGTTTCCTCCTCTTTCCAGAGTGTCTGTCAATTCGTTAATGCTCAAAATGTGACTGAAATTCCGCTTTGAAGTTCATGGGATGAAAATCATGCTGATGTTCGATGTTTTAATTTTTTATTTTTCGACAGGGTGAAATAATCACGGTATTGCGTCGTGTAGACGCCAACTGGGCGCTTGGCAAACTGAACGGTGACGTTGGTATTTTCCCACTGCCATTTGTGCAATTGAATCAGTTTGCTCGAGCACTTCTCAAGCACAGCAGTGCCGCCTCTGCATCCATCAACAGCAAACCAGTGCCTTCTGCGAACAGCTCTGAACCGCCGCGATCCTTGCACGGCGTCAATCAGTCCGGACTGAATTCGCCGCCCAACGAACCCCGCGGGGATCATCCAACAGGAATGAATGGGAATTCGAGTAGTCACCCGGGCCAGGCGACTGGGTTCGTGGCGGCGGCGACAACGAATGTTCCACGATGCAGAACCGCCGTTTCTCCGGTGGCCTTTGGATCCTCTGCGTTGACGGACGTTTTGCGTCAGTTGGACCCCCTGATGTCGCCGTTTAGGAATCCGATTGGTTCTACGGCGGCTACTGGGGGACAAGTTGCTGCTGTTGGTGGCGCCGCAGCCGCCGCTGCTGCTGCTCCGGGCCAACCGCAAGTCGCATCCGGAATGACGTGAGTTTCAAATTTATATTTTTTCTCGCGTGTTTATGAAGGCGGGGGGTTATGAGCATGATTTTATTGCGCTAGACGTATTATTTACGGAATATCCGATAATTCAAAGATTTTTGTTCCTCGTGATATATTTTTTTATGCTAGTAAGGTCAATAAAGACTTAACTCGTACGAAACTTAGTACAGGTGGCCTAGACTCTCTCTTTCTTTCTACAAGAAACTTCGAGACCAGAAAAATATTCGCTTTCAAGAGAATTTCGTTGTAGAGAACGCATTGAACACGGGGAGAGAACTCGATGAGATCTAAGCCTAATTCGTCGTTCTGTACAGAGAAATAGCTGTGGACAAAATGTTGTGGAGAGAGTCGGGCTGTATTGAAAATTTTTGCAATTTGAATGCTTCTTTTTGAGGAGCAGAGACTCGAAATAAATATTTTATGAGAGGATAAACCGCTTCATTTTTAACATTTGAAATAAATTAGAAAACCATGAGAAGACGTCTGAAAAATCTCATTTTGGGATTTACTGAAGGTTCTGCGTTTTTGGTTTGCCATTTTGAAAGGGGAGAGGAAAATTATTATTTCCGGGGAACAAAACTGTATGAGGCCCTACTGTTAGTCCTTATAATTGAATGGCATTCTAATCGTAATCGGAACACTTTTTAATGAAAAATTCTTTTTTTTCGTAAAGGTTATCTTTTTATTGTTGAATGAACGTCAACAGATCGCAGAAAATTTGCCGTTTCACAGCCCAGATTTTTTTTAGTTCCTCTGTTTCATTTGAATAAAAAAAAAAAGAAATGTGCTGAATGAAAGCATTTATTTTTCGTGGAATGATGGTTGCATTTATTATGTTTCCAAACTGGCAGCCGAATTGTGCAAATTTTAGAAATACCCATCATCCAATGAAATGTTTCCTTGAATTGTGAGAGATATCGACTAGAAATTTTAACGTTGCAAACATTCCTAGGAAATCCATCCGTCAAGTCGAGTCTAGCCAGGTTGTGGAAAGAAACATTTTTTACATAATCAGTGCAAATCTGATTATTTTATACCATACAAATCTGACGAGCCAGTAAAGAGACGAGTGTTTTCCCGGAGAATGTAACGATTTTCTCCGTCATGCAAGTATAGATCGATCAGGCAAACCTTAACTTTTCGTCAAAGCATTTCATTTGTTCATTTCTCCGCGAAATAATCAAGCTTTTTTGGAAATATGCTTGCGTACCAATCTCACTGTTATTTCAATCTCGTGAGGAGTAGATGCTGCTGGCATGCTTTTTTTTTCCTTCTCTTTGAAAATAAATGAAATTGTTCTGCGTAGGAGTGCATCAAAACGAAGAAAAACTTCCTCGATTTAAAAGTTGAAAGCACATGAGCCATCGTTTTCGTTGCAATTTTTTTTGCACCCTTGGTTCTGTAGTTATGAAGCTCTCTATTCGTACTCTCCGCAAAAACCGGACGAGTTGGAGTTGGTGAAGGGAGACATATATGCGGTCACCCAGTTTTGTCAGGACAACTGGATCAAGGGTGTTCATTTAAGAACTGGACGATCCGGTGTGTTTCCCGGCAACTACGTTCAACCAGCGAGGTATTCCGTTTTTTGTCGAATACGCGCATTTTGGTAGCATGCACGGTATCAGAATTGGTGCATACTTAGCGAAAGTAGCATTTAGACGTACCGTTCATTTTTTTTTTTGCTCAGCTCGTGTAGATTGGGTTATGGGCAGAAATCCGTTTCTAATTAGACGCCAGATGCTTTCGATACTGTGCGAAGGAATCCTTCCTGAATAAATCATTAATGAATTGAGTGGCGCCTCAAATAAAGGGAGAGAGAGAGCAGTCGATGTAATCGAATGTATCCCCGGATAAAAAAACTAATCCGTTCCGGGGTGTGTTTCGTTTCACAGACTTTTCGTAAAGCGGAACGCGTTTTTCTTGAATGTTGCCTTTTAAATTACTGGATTCGTTCTGGACACGCAACGAAAACCATCAGGTCAACTATTATAAACCATCAAAACGGGTTTTCCTAGTTTTTTTGTGGCATGAAATTGTGAAATTGAAATTAGTAAGCATGAAATTCAAGTAATCCTGTTACATTTGTGCTCTGACCTTCCGGAATTTTACCTACTGTTTTTTATAGGCGAAAAGAAGTAAAAGAATACCATCTATACCCTCCTCGTATTTTTCTTCAAATTTGGAAAAAAAAATCCGAAGTTTTCGTTGCAAGGGTTGAAATTTGAGCAATTTTGTGCCAATCAATTTTGGTACAGTGTGTGGAACAATTTCGCGATGTGATTCGATTTTTCCTCATTAAAAATTTCGATGGGCAAATTTTTGTTGCGCGGGTCTTCAGTCATGCGGGGACTCTCTGTACAGTACACTCGATTTTGTCTTTTTTTTTAGTTCTAGCAGTCTTACATTCTTGATGAAATTATCGAAGCGAAAATAAAAGTTTTCGTTTTGTCTTGGTTGTTCACGCGCACGTGGAATCCAACTGAGCACTCTAATGATCATCCCATCCTAGAAGAAGAATCGAAAAGAAAAGTTCCTCTTTTCAAAGCAAAGCTCGCCACACATCCAACCCCTTTTTATGAGGGAGAAATGAAAAAAAAATCCGCTTACAAAATTGCTGGTTTTGGATGTGTGGGTATTTGTTCTATGGATGCATGCAGTCTTCATGCTTTTTGTATTTGTTGTTCGTGGGATTGAATTTACTCTTTCGATGCGAGTGTGTGTATATATTGAAACTTCTTTCATTTTTTTCCGCAGTAATCCATTGGTGTCGCAGACAAACATGGAGCAGTCCGGTGCGACTGCTTCACCAGTCGCAGTTTCTTCTCGTACTCCTTCTCGTGGATCTGGGTTGCTGAAAAAACTCTCCACCAAAAGAAGAGGTTCGGCAGCAGCTTCTTCAACTAGTAATTTACTTGATGAAAGACCTGGATTACTGGAAAGTGGAAGAGCGGAAGGATTCGAAGATTCTTTCGTTCCGTATTCTCACGGTGCTCAAGGAGTTGGACTCCATTCGAGGTACAGTACTTCAAATTCATTTTCTCGTTGATCCGCGATGACAGACGTTTTTCCGTCTTTTTTTCTTCCGGAAGGAGTTGTAAATTTTTTTCATAAATTTAGTGTCAAGAATTTGAAGCAATTTTTTTTTATGCGTGAACTAAAGCAAACGTTATCGAATTAAGTTGACCTAGTCTAATCTCACTTAATTCAACAAAATGTTACAAGTTTTCAAGCGACAATCCTGATGCACTTGGCGTTGAAGCGAGAACTAGTATTACTGTATTTCACTTGAATCGCGTAATTGTGGTTTATTTTGTCAAGAAATACAGTTTTGAGAGGTTTTACTTGATCATTTCTCCCCGTTTAGGTCTGGCTCATGTCCAAGTCAGCTGATCAATGTGACCTCGGTTACCCCGGGTCCCTCTCGGCTTTCCCCTGCTCCATTGTCGGTTAAACTGCCTCAAAGGATTTTCAGGTTAGAATGACTGAAAAAATTATGCTAATTTCTCAGTTACGGGTTTTAATGCGCCATGCGTTCAAATAACCCCCCCCCCCCCCTAATTAGATCTGTTTCCACGACGAATGGGAAGAAAAATCCGTCGTCGCCGGAAGACGGTGCTGTCCCAAGTCGGCGCCCGAAGACCCCACCGACCACCATTACAGTCGAAAGGTTTGTGCTACTCTTTCGAAGGAAATAATCTCTGCGACCCAAGAGCGATATAAAATATATTGTAAGATTAATTCCAAGATTCAAAATGTTGCTCAACCTTTAAAAAAAACTCGATGGTTGTGATTCAATGCATTGCGCTGAATTAAATTTGAAATTTTCCTTTTAAAACGGACTTTATTTAGAACATTAAAAATGAGTGTCTATTGTGGCCCACAAGAACTCTACTTCTGCAATAGTGCAATGTGACCCTTTTAAGGCAAAATTATGTATTAATGTGACCCTTGTCCGCATATGAGTTGGGTAGCACTGCCTTGACTATGGTATATGGGAAAAATAGTTTGTCCTGCAATTGCATAAATTCAGTTGGTTTTTTTGTTGAAAATTTCACGTGAACAATTCCTTTTCTCAATCTCAGATATAGATGCATCGCTGCGTACCCAGCAGCGAGTCCACAAGAGCTCAATTTGGCCTTTGGTGACGTAGTCCACGTGCAGCGTCGGAGCAAATCGAAAAACGGTGATTCTGACAACTCTGAAGGGTGGTTGAAGGGCAAACACGCCGCAACCGGCAATGTGGGTTACTTCCCTGCCACGTTTGTGCAAAAAATTTAATGTATTTTATTTTTGGTTCGACGGAAAATTAGTCTTTTTATTGTAGGAGTTTTTTTTGTGTGGTCAATCGAGCGACTCTCGATGCTTCAGCGAAAGAATCACGGGGACGCGGTTTAAATTTTTGTTAAAGTCCAAATTTTTGCATCATGGGAATTTGAATTTTTGTTGGTACTGTAGTCGAATTTTTTTCGTTCTTGCTCACCGAGCCAAACGGCGTGGATTTGAAAAGAATATGTGGGTCTGAGCTGGCCTCACGTAAAATTTGTTCTCCTGATGGAACTTCTTATTTGTACGAATGTGACATTGATTTTGTGCCGTCCGCTATTGATTTCGCTTTAGTACACGTGATGTGAGGAAATGCTCTTGATTCGTTGCGTGTAACGGAAATGTTTCTGCCATGACAGCAGTATCGAGAAATGTTTCCCGCCGGAAGGGAGTTTTTATTAATATTCCGAAGATAAATTTTCGGGTTTGTGGGAATATTCGTTCCAGTTCCATGTGTCGTCAAGTGATAATCACCTTTTGTTCATACGAGTGTAAATTGTTTGTTTGGAAATGTGGAACTCTCCTTCGATGTGTTGAGAAGCCTTTTCATGTAACTTGCCATGGAAACGGAAACCGGCGCATTTGACTCGAAACGAACGAATTTGAAAAGTGGATGCCATTTTTTGTCGAGCACTTGTGCCAAAAGAAGAGATAAAATAGTAGTGTACCTGGCGAGATTTCAGGTTGTCAGAACTCGAGGAACCTCTTGTAAATATCTCTGTCGAAAGGTTTTTTCAAGCGACTCCTTGCGAGTGAGAGAGACGTTTGTTAGGGTGAGATTTGTGAACTGAGGAATGGTTAGAAATCGTCAGGACTTTGTTTGTTGATTATGTGCCTTGTTGGTTTCGTTGTGCCTCATTCGTCTGACTCCGGAGAATTATTTTTATGAAATATTCCTCGCGATTGGTGGGCTTGCGCATCCAAAATACTGCTGAATTTGTTGTTCTCCAAAGAAAGACGATTATCGAACGGGGTTTCCGATTTTTGTAACATTTTTTATTAATCAACCTCAAATGCGTGTTGCTGAAGTAATAACATTTTCTTTTTTTTTCAGGTGTTCATGTGAGAGATTTTTTTTTTTTCCACTGTGAGAAGTGTAAAATTTTTCGAGTCTTATCTTGACTGGTCATTCTGTTCGTCATGAATCACTTGAAACTATGTCTGAGAATGAGATGCTTGGCTTTGCCAATTCCTCGGCAAATCTTGGTAAGCTGTGCGAAAATTTTATATTGCTTCTAGTCTGGATTATCAGTTGGAAATTTCATTCTAGACTAGGAATGCCAAGATTGTTACCACGACCAACGCTGGCATTTCCACCACCGCAACAGCGAGAAGCGATTCGTTGTTTGTTGTAAGTTACCCTTTTTTCCTGTAGAATTTTAAATTTTTCATGTGTCTGATGAATTTTGATTTATTTCTTTGTCTCCAGCATCGTGACTCTAAGGAGAACAATCCAAACACTCCTTTTGAATTCACATCGGAAAATATGAAGGTAAGAGTCAAGCGAATGGTTGTGATACGAGGCGTGAAGCAGGAATTGTTCCTTGTAGAGAGCTGAAGCCATTATGGAAAATTACCCTGTGGGTCACAAGCGTGGTGCTGTTATTCCGCTTTTGGACCTTGCCCAGAGGCAACACGGTTGGTTGCCGATTTCAGCGATGCATAAGGTTGCCGAAATTTTGGACATGCCCAAGATGCGAGTCTACGAAGTCGCCACTTTCTACACTATGTTCAATAGGTGAGATTTTCTACAATCAGGAGTTGTTTCTTGTGGGATACGTTTTTGTGCCGATGTGTCTGAGTTTTTGTTGTTTTTCGATTTGTCGATTTAAAGATTCTTTTAGGCCAAGTGGTCATGGAACCTTCGTCCCACCTGATTTGATTGATTCATTTTTTTTTTGTAGGAACCCGATGGGCAAGTACCATGTGCAGATTTGTACTTGCACCCCGTGCTGGCTGAGGGACTCGGATCGTCTTGTATCAGAAGTGAAGGAAAAGCTTGGCATCAAGTTTGGCGAAACGACGAAAGACAAGCTGTTTACCCTGAGTGAAGTCGAGTGTCTTGGTGCTTGCGTGAATGCCCCTATGATGGCCGTTAATGATGATTATTATGTGAGTACTTTATATCTAGTCGTTTGGAAAACTTTTTGGATGACTTTTTTATTTGTGTGCGTGCCTTTGAGAACCAGGACTTGAAAATAGCTTCATTTTCGTTTTCCTTCTGGGGAATGAGTCTTTTGATTTTGTCTAATTTCGTTGCGGATGGGCAATATCACATGATCACGGGAATCTTGGACCAAGGATTTTTCTAAGGCTATAATTTTAGTGCAACGGAGTTTTCTGGGCTGATATTTGAGAGCACTCAGACATTTTGGAACCTCTTATTTTCCAAATGAAGTACAGCTTTTTCAGTACAATCGTGATTCAATTGAATAACTTTTTCAAGGAGTACAATGTATACTGTATTCTGAAGTTTAATTTTTTCGTGTTTACCCCAGCTTCTGATCGAAACGGCAGCACCAATAAGGGGATACCTCAAACCCAAATCTTCCATGAGTTGTTTTCCAATTAATTTACTATGCTTCTATGAAATTTATACTTTATAAAAAAATAAGCTTTTCTGCTCTTCCGACGAAAAGATTTGCACTTTTTTGCTATTAAAACGCAGAAAATTCTGCTGTAATTGAAGTAGAAAAAAATGGTATGCCTACCGCTATTCACGTGAAATTCTTCAAATTCATTAGTAATGCATACGTAACGATGCTTTGTTCCTGAACCAGCCAATCGGAAAAATCGTGCATTCATGTACAGTATCTGCATAACTGACGAAAATTGCGATCACGGTCGCTTTGCAATTTTGGGATGAAATTTATTTTTTCAATTATTTGCAGTGGCTTTTTTTGATCAAGGAGGTTGTTTATTTCAGGAGGATCTGAAGCCGGGAGACGCTGAGGAAATCTTGGGCGAACTAGCTGCTGGGAAAAAGCCGAAAATGGGTCCTAGGTGAGCTAATCGAATTCCGAATAATGTTATTTTACTGAACCTGATCGTGTGAATTTCCTGCGATTCTAACTTTTTTCCTTTTTTTTCCTCAGAACTGAAGGCAGATTCTCGTGCGAGCCCGCCGGAGGCCTGACCTCCTTGACGGAAGAACCCTATGGGCCAGGGTTCAAAGTCCGTAGTGATTTGTGATAGAATGTCGTAGCTTGTGTTTATGAAAAAATTGCAGACAAGCTCTTTCGGTTATTATCCTTTACGGATTCCCTACTGCTAGTGGCTCACGTTTTATTTTCTCCATCTTTCATGATCCTCGCTCGATTGTACTCGGAATTGATAAACCTCCGTCAAATTCGATATCACTGGAGTTTCATTTCATGTATGGAATTCTTAGTAGACTAATCTTGACATTCCTCGATGCTTCATTTCAGTGCGATCGAAGTGTTCCTGTGCTTGCGACTGGGACAAGATATTACCGTCCTCATGAGCTGCGACCATCTTCAAATCGATATGCGTGTGTTTTTTCATGGTTTCATATTGTCAATTTCAGGAGTTCAGCAACATGAGCAAAAAAGAAACACGCCGAGAATTATTTGCTTTATTTGAGTGTAAGTGTTCTAGCTCTGCCTGCTACTGGAACGAGATGTTACCGTCCTCTAAGATGCGACCATCTTCAAATCGACAGGTATGTTTTTTTTTATAGTCAATATGAGGAGTTCAGAGCCATTCACAAAAGCAAATCACGTCGAAAATCCCCCCTCCCCCTCCGTGTTAAATAATCATTGGGGGTTTTTCTGGGAGCAAAATGCACGTGCGATTCGGAAAGTGAGTCTCGGTAAAGCTCGTGTCGAAACTGTGAGCCCGCCTCGAAATTTGGTATTATTTCGAGTTAGGATCGATCAAGTATGTTTCATCGGATCATTATTACTTTTTGTTGTTCGGGCCCGTAATTTCTTCTTGTCTGGCTGATCCCGAAATTCCTGCGTTTCATTTAAGAGATGCCATGTGGAATGCATGAATTCTTGCTTTTCAACGTAGGACAGTAAAGTATTTTATTTGGACTTCTTTGCAGGAAATGAGACTCGACGCTTTTTTTTTTTTTGGATCCGGATGTCCAGAACTTTCCGGATTTTCCCCCTTGGTCTCTTCGTGATGCCCCCTCGTGTGAGACGAGTTTTGATTTCATATTCCCGCACCCCGTGGACGAATTACGAGCATCTTCTTGGTTATGATCGGGAAATGCGAAATCGTCGTAAGGAAAGAATTTTCAGACGCAATAAAAGGGTCAGGAAAGAAACTGTCTTTCATCTTCTGCCATTTCCTCCACGGATGGAGCATAGGAACTGTCTGAAGTCACGCTCAGATTCCGGACAGAACAGATGACATTTCTTTATGATTTCGAGAATTCGGACAAAAAGATTGAGGCGCACTTTTGAACTGATCGTGCAGTTATCCGGATGGGCTAATGTCCTATGCTTTTCCAGCATTATCTCTATCTTATACAGAAAGTATCCTGTGGAATCACCGGTTACGTAAGTTTTGGGAAATGATGCCTGTTGTACCTTTTCGGCGTGTGAAGGTGTGATTTTGTTTGCCAGTCGTGACTTCGATGCAGTGATTGGGGAATGGGAATTGTGGAGTTCTTCGAGATGAACTCGGTTTTATCTAGGATTCCTGTCGCATTTCGTGTAAGAAGAGTATTTTGCTATGTCCGAGTGTCATTGAGACACAGGACTTCGTCATTCATCGCTTGATGGAGTTCTTGGCTGGCTGGTAATTTTACAGAATTAAGACAGACGATTTTTGTGATTCAGAAATTTTAGATTATGCTCGAAATGACCAGAGATATTTCTCAAGAATGCTCCTACAGTCGTTTCCGACGATTGAGACGATCACTCGTCCTACTATACCGCATGGAATGCGTCATTTTCTTTTCGCTGTGAATGGTTCGTCCAGCGATCATATAGTTGCTGTTTCAAAGTTGAGGATGTGTTCGGTCTGTCTATAGAGATTTTTCAATTTTCCAAAGCATGTCTTTCACCTGATGGATGAAAAGCAATCAGAACGTTCTACTATTCTCATTCCGTGCTGTCTTCGTGTGACAAAAATCGAACGAACTCCTGTGTCCGAAATTCCATAATTCGTGTGGAAATCGAGTACATATTGCAGTTAATCCAGTAAATCGAAATCGTCAATAGCTTGACTGATGTATCCTGGAAAAGTTGTTAGGAGATTCTGAAAAAAGATCCAAGGCAATCGAAAAGTACATTAGTTATAAATACAGTACTGTAAATTTCTGTCAAGTTTTCAAAGATGCGTGGTACAGTATTCAGCGAGCCATCCTCTGCTGAATACCCTTGAATGAGGATTAGCGAGTAAGAAATTTTCTTAGTCAGAACTTGAGAGATAATCTTCATCAAACCAACCATAATGAGTACTGTTGCTGATGTCGCAATGGTTTGAAAGATTCTGGATTCAATGAACGTGCGCAGCCAGCAGGAAGCTTAATTGAAATCAATACTCAACTACTTTTGATCAATGACCTCAAGTCCCATCAATATTTCGTACGTGGAGCTTGGAGGGAAGATGAATGTGAACACGTCATCGTATTTCCAGCTATTTTCCTTCTTAGGATGTAACTGTTTGACTTCTGAGATTCCAACGGATTGCGTGAGTAATGGATTACCTCGAACCGCGATCAGAATATTGTATTTCGAAGGTCAGTTATCGTTTTCTGAGAGAGAACAGGAACCGCTCACGACCACATTCGCTTTTTTTTCTTGCAATTTCTCGATCGCTATGTCCCGTGAGCGTTTTAACCGACGGATCAAAGACAAAGTGATGAGACAGTCTGAAACTGACCGCCATCCGTTTGAGTGCCAGAAAAAAGTGAGGGTTTCTGCTGTAAAACATGCGTCATAAAAGGTTTTTCTTTTTGTACGCGGTATAAATAACGGGTACCACTCCGGATTTACTACGAGTTCCGGGAAATGTCTTGGTGATATTTTGTGGTAAAGATGAAGCATGGTATGTATGATAAATGTGGCATGTTTTTCCTCAACATATAAGAATGGGTTCAGGATATTTTCTAACCCTACTTTTTACTCCACGGCACTCATGCTTCAAAATTCTTACTGAAAATTCATTTGCGTACACTACAGTTCAGCCTGGATAACTCGAACTTTCCCAAGTCGAATTTTCTTCAAGTCCCTGTCTGAATTCCCGTAGAAACATTCCATTAAAATCCTCCCTGATTTGAAGGCATTTCCATGCGTGCGTTCATTTCATTCAAACTCGTCATCGATGCGCATGCGGTGGATGCTTTCATTTTTGCCCGGCGGTTCTTCCATGATTGGTGATGACAACAAGTGAGTTGCGGTCAATTGATCAATGATGGCAACAGTCGATTTTATTAATTAATCTAATTCCCAACGTTGGGCTCGGCTTTGCTCGTAGGATTTACTGAACTCGATCCTCGCCATATAAATCCTCTATCACTATGCGCGTAACGGAGATGCGCTTTCATAAAAAGCGCGAAATACTGACTACGCGGAATTCATCCTCGGGGGAACGTTTTACCACCGAGTCATCAACTCACAACCACTCCTTGATGGTTCCCCCATCGTATGTATATGGGGTTGAAGATGATGCGGTTTTTCATCCCCTCTGGAATTTCAAGATTTGTCCAAGGTCTCGGATGCCGTACAGAAAAGATGTTATTCACGTGATATCGGCTTTGAGGCCGAACAAGTTGCTCCGCCGCGCGATCATCATCATGAGCGACGCTTCGGGCTGAACAATAATGAGCTCAAAAGTAACGTTTGCTTCTTCCATTGCTGCATGTATTTGAATAATTTGAAGCTTATTTCGCAGATTTGCGACTTTGATCATCGATTTTCCGCAAGAACTTATCTGCATATTGTATATCAATGATTTAATTTGTTTGGATTTCGAAAATTTTTGAAGTGAAGCGGAGAAGAAGGGAACCGTCCCTTTCCTATACTGTATCTCGTCCGTTTCTGAAGTTTGAGCAGCAGGGCTTGCGGTTTTGATGAGCAGGTGAACCTGGATAACTCGAACCTCCGTAAGTCAAAATGCGAATAAGTCGAATTTTTTTCTAAGTCCGTGTCGGAATCCCGTTTAAGAAACAATAATGCATTAGACCTCCCTAGTCCCAAGGCTTTCCTTCTCAGGCTACCTCCGGCAGTACCAAAAGTTTCTGGAGACCTTTTGGCTATAGTTTTATTGACACAGGAAGGAGAGAAGTGATAAAACTTTATTGTGATGTGTTTTGAAAGGAAGTTATAATCTTATTCGGCAAATAAACCCAATGCCAGCATCCTGTCAATTCATTTAAGAAGCAGTTTGAGGGCTAGAATATCACCAATTACAAGTTCCTGTAAAATTCGTCTTTCTTTTCCCCAACAGAAATGTTTGTTTCCCAAACTCAGATCTTCTCCAAGTTGAATTTTTTGCTGGTCTCTTGAAGTTTTAATTGGAAAGGTATGACTGTATTGAATAGTACAGTACTGAAAATGCTGTTTCAAAATGCAGGTGTTATACCTCGCAATTCAACCCTTATCTGTTGCTGAACTATAGGGTCGAATTGAAAACACTCCGTGAAATTCAAGAATGTAAGTACAAAAACGTGAAAAAGTGGCCAAAGCTGGTTGAATTGCGGGGTAAGTATCGAATTGCAAGTCAACCTCCCTGCAAATTCGACCATCGTATTGCGGGACAGTCAATCGAATTGCGAAGTACTGTACTACCTTTACATGCGTACAATACGTATTGTATCTTCTTCAGATCAGCACTTATTATACCCTTCATATATGTAACATCAATCGAATGTCGACCATAGGACGTCGCCCAAAAATCAATGATGAATTGATAGCGCTGTCGAGGGAATATAATAAGTGTACAGTACGCTTTTGAGTGGAACGCGAATTAATGTTCTTGTCTTAGCATTTATGGGAAAGAGCCTTGGCGTGGTATAGGTGCCTGTTGTAAATGCTTGCTTTCGTGTTTACGTATGATGACTCTACAGGTTTGAGCTTTTCATTCTTGGCTTTGAATTTTGTGCTGAATCCGATAGAGGTTCAATTAATGCTCTACGAAACTGCGTCTTGAGTTTTCGAAAAAGTTTCCGAGAAATTTTAACGCATGCTGGCGGTTGTGTTCACATAAGTAATATACTAATGATTCCAGGTAAGATTGTGTCCTCATTGTCGTGATATCTGAAAAAAAAATAAAACCGTGGACAATCAATTCATTCATGTCTCCGTTTCGGGCAACCTTGTTTTCTTCCCATCTTTGCTTCCTCTCACCTTGGCATTGACTGGAATCGGTTCCGCGCTAA